ACCTTGGTACAGAAGACAGGCTGTGTGTGTGTGTGTGTGTGTGTGTGTGTGTGTGTGTGTGTGTGACCATATTGCATGTTGTGGTTCATGTGTAGAGGTCAGAGGATAGCTTGCTAGACTCAGTTCTCTCCTTCTATCACCTGGGTCCTGGGGATAGAATGCAAATCTTTAGGCTTGGTGGCATGCCTGGTTCACCTTAGGATTAGAAAAAATGCAAATTAATTAAGTGTGTGTGTGTGTGTGTGTGTGTGTGTGTGTGTGTGTGTGTGTGTGTAGGCCTGTCACCTGTGAGACTGGGGATCAAACTTAGGCTGTCAGGCTTTTGCCAGTCCCCTAGTTCCTGAGCTACCTCACTAGCCCAGGCTCCCCCCCTCCCCCTCCCGGGGGTTTCTGTCTGTCTGTCTCTTGTTTTTTTTTGTTTTTTTTTTTTTAACACAAAGCCTCTCTGTAGTCCTGGCTGTCGTGGAACTCACTATTTAGACCAGGCTGATCTTAACCTCACAGACATCTGTCTACCTTTGCCTTCCAGGTGCTGGGATTAAAGGCATACACCACCACACCCAGCTCAAGCCTTTTCTTTTCCCTTTTTAAACTTAGTTTTAATCTATTATTATTAGTGCAAGCATGCATGTGTATGATGTATGTGTGGACATGAGTGCCACAGTGCACACATGTAGAAGTCAAAGCACTACGTTTGGGAGTTAGTTCTCTTTCTCCATTGTGGGATCTGGGGACTGAATGCTAGCTGTCCGGTTTACAGTTAGCACTCTTGTCCACTAAGCCACCTTGCCAGCCTCCCGGATCTTTTTTTAATGGATAAATTTCATATTGGTGTCAACTGGATGGTGGGGGAAGCATTGTTAGCACACAGTAGGTTCCATGCCTTCGACGTACTTTCCAGAGTTGTTCTGCGCACAATGCACGGTTAACGCTGTTTGCTTTCGGTGCGGTTCCCGTAAACTTGCTACTGAAATGCATTAAATTATAACAACCACAACAATAACCACAGACAAAGCAAAGGTGGTCCTGCACTGCGGTACTCACCCTGTCTGTGACCGTCGATATGATCAGGGCATTTGGCACCAGAAGGGCGGTTTTGGTTTTCTTTATCAGGGTGACGGAGAAAGCTGGGATAGAGATCTGAAACAGAACCATCCAGTCAACGCCAGCTCAGATTCCACCCACAGCACTTCAAATCTACATCTGGCTCAAGACACCACCAGCTTCATGAAAAACTGAATCTGGGAGTGGTGGGAACATATCACTGAGCTGTTCAGACAGGGGTATCCAAAGCCACAGGACACAGCTGGGAAGTTCTAGACACGGTAACAGAACACAGTATTTATCCTGATGTTCATGCATCAGGGCTCAAGGCTCTGGAGGTCTAGGGCTTACGGGATCTGCTCTGGACTTGGTTTTTGGGTTGAGCGCAGGTGGAAGGGGAAAACATGCTGGACAGAAAGTCTTGAACTTGAATTTAGTCCTGTTACTATAAACATGACCTTCTCAACCTAACACACTATCCACGCAAAGCTTCTGCCTCCTGATTTATAAGTTCAGGCAGCCTTCCTTAATATTCAGAATTTTTTTCGGGATTAAATAAGATAAGGTCCAGAGGACATTCAGTGCTGAATAAAAACTTTTACCAGGTTCCTCATTTGTCTCATGATATCAGAGTGCACAACATGTTCATTTCTGGCTCAAATAAGTAACAACAAGCCATACTTATCATTTAATTATGCCAGTCATGTAAGGCTTAGGTTTCAGATCACGAAATATGTTCAAAGAAATACATGATTCATTCAAGATCCTGTACATCAGAACTTACAAACATTGGGATCTGAACTGATCTGATCCAAAATGGTCGTTTCCTCCCAGATGATAGGCTATAAGAATATATCAGATGACACAGAGAACAATGACCGCCACTGTTTGGTTTCAAGTGAAAATGACCATATCACTGTGAACCCCCAAACAGTCTCACACACAGGTATGGTTTAAAACAAAAATGATTTGACTTGATGCATAGGTACACACACTTACTGGAATATGTATTTTATAAAGAAGCTTCATGAATTCTGAAAGAGGTCAGTGGGTCAGTGGGGGAAGAGGAGGGCCTTGGGCTGATTCTGCCAGTTTGAAGGAATGGAAACAATTTTTTTCCGAGACTTTTTCTTTTTTTCTTTTCTTTTCTTTTCTTTTTTCTTTCTTTCTCTCTCTCTCTCTCTCCCTCCCTCCCTCCCTTTCTTCCTTCCTTTCTTCCTTCCTTCCTTCCTTTCTTTCTTATTTTTAGATTTATTTATTATGTATACAGTGTTCTGCCTACATGCATGCTTGCAGGCCAGAAGAGGGCACCAGATCTCCTTACAGATGGTTGTGAGCCACCATGTGGTTGCTGGGAATTGAACTTAGGACCTCTAGAAGAGCAGCCAGTGCTCTTAACCTCTGAGCCATCTCTTCAGCCCCAAGACAGGATTTTTCTGTGTAGTTTTGGTGCCTGTCCTGGATCTCGCTCTGTAGACCAGGCTGTCCTTGAACTTATAGAGATCCACCTGGCTCTGTCTCCCGGGTGCTGGGATTAAAGGCATGTGCCACTGCCACCTGGAAACAACCACTTAATTTTGAATATCTGTAGTCACATTTGGTTCCCTGAGATGGATTATCCTCTGCTCTGAGGAGTTCTAGGAAGCGAGGCTGTGAAAAATGAGGGACCGATCCCATTTAGATACTTTTCTTATATTTTTGGTTGTGAGCTTAGCCTTTAATGGCTGAGCCATCTCTCCAGCCCTAGATACTTTTCTAAAAGCTATTGTTTTAAAGATTTCTACTCATAAACATTCTCAAGGGCAGGGGATAATTCTGACGTTGGGATCACTTTGGAAAAAAGTACTTGATGTCTACTATGATAACGATATCAGAATGAGTCCAATGTGGCTTCTGAGCAAGTACCACAAGCGCCCAGTGACAAGGGGCCATAAGTTCAGGCTTTCCTGAGCCATAAATGACCCAGAAGGAATTTTAATCCTCTGTTCCATGGCTATAAAATTATAACCGAATAACTTGTGAAATGAAGACGACGTGAACTTTCAGTGAGACTAGATGCAACGTGATATATACTCATCTTAATTTTACCGGCATCTGAAAAGACCTCGCCGGTAATGCGTGTTTCGGGGTAGGCGTTTAGAAAGAGAACAAGCTGGCAGTCTTTAATCTTATTAGATGATGTTGAACTGAGGTCTGGTGACCCTTGAGGGAATTCTGCAAGACCCCTGAAGCCCAAAACTCTCTGACACCATCTTTGGGGTGGGAAGACACAGACAGACCACTGTCCCGGTTTTCATCCTGTCCCCTGCTAATTCTGTCTCCTCTCTCTGAGGATTAGCTGTAGCTCACACAGAAGTGTGTCCATGTATTAAAAAACCAGGGACACTCCTTTCAGCTTCTTTTTGTCACTGAAGTACATGCACAATTTTCAAACCATTGCTAAATCCCACTAGCTAGAAGCTCACTCACTGCCTTGGTGAACTTATATGTTATTAAAAAAGAAAAATCCTTTGTTCAGAATGTCTTCAGTTCCTGGACTCTGATTAGAGACCCAGACTCGCTCTGAATTCAGAACCATGCTTATCCTGCTGAGAAGCAGGACCAGATCTCCCACAGACCCCATGACCAGCTTCTTTTAAATATAATTTATTTATTTTTATTTTATGTACATTGGTGTTTTGCCTGCATGTATGTCTGTGTGAGGGCTTCAGATATTGGAGTTACAGACAGGTATGAGCTACCCTGTGGGTGCTGGGAATTGAACCCAGGTCCTCTGGAAGAGCAGTCAGTGCTATGAGCTACTGAGTCATCTCTCCAGCTCTGACCAACTTCTTATAATCCTGAAATCTAGAGTAATGGTGGAATACTACTTTGCATTGGTCTAATTCAGAGAATGCCTCAATTCAAAATATGGCTGTCTAAGAATAACGTATAATAAGCATATATAAAAAGGAACATGAAGTAAGCTGCTCTCCAGAGCTAACACCAGCACGATAGAGAATATTCATCATATTCATTGAGTGGTCCTTATAGGATGACCAGTGGCTGTAGGGAGAATGTTTAGGTATAGTATATTTATTTCAAAGGGTTTTATTTCATAACTGGCTACTTTATGGCTATTAAATGGCTTACTCATAGTCTCAAGGTACAGTACCGGGAAACTCACTGAGGTCATGCAAAGCAGGAAGGCACTCCTCTGACCTCTGGCTGCCTGAATGAACTGTGCTAGAATGCCGTAGTTCACAGGCACGACTGTCTTTTCCTTCTTTGTGGGACAGTTTCAGAAAGCAGGGCCTCGAGAAACTGCTAGTTCCTTCATCCCTGAGGCTGTTCGCAAGCTCTGGTGTCCTGTGTCTCAGCTCGACTTTGTGTTTGACGGAGAATCCAAGGCAGCCACACCAGAGCATATCTGAGGTCATGGGGCTCTGACTTCCACACACCAAGCCTTGTACACTCAAGTTCCAGGTCCCTTGTGCCAGCAAGGGTAAGACACTAATTTACAAACCTGTTGTCCTAGTAACTATTATGGATACAACAAAAATGGATACGTTTTAAAGGTTTTTTTTTTCAAAGGGGGTAGATGTTTGAGGCAGGGTCACATACAGTAGGTAAGGCTCACCTGGAACTCACTTAGAGCCCAGCCTGCCATCAAAATCATGGAAGCCCTCCTGCTAGGATTATAGGGTTGAGCCACCACACCCCGCTACATATTTTGGTTTTTAATGAATGCTTTTGAGACAGATGAGAGCATGTTTTCCAGAAATGCACAAGAACAACTTCAATGTCTCTGATGACATGTGGGTAAAAGCGATTCAGGGCCAAGGGTGGGAGAAGAACAGGGTGATGTGTGTAAGGAAAGGGGGAAGCACGTGGTGCTTTGGGGAAGGGAGGAAGTCAGAATCATCTGGAGGCATTTAGAGCCATAGGATTTGGAAGCACCAGAAAGGAAACTGGGTATAAACTCAGGCTCAGGAGGGAAATATTTAAATATAGCTAAATTTAAAGTAATTTCTACTAAAACAGGCAAAGAATACCATGTTAACCCTTTCTTCTAAACACACCAACCTTAGTGTCTTTTCCAAAGACTTTGGAATGAAAACAAATCCAGTTTTCCGACACGAAGAGCTTTCCTTGGTATAGAATTTCTTTCTGGAGAGCACAGGTAAAGCCTAAGAGACAGACAGGTGGAGCAGCAGCATTTAGAATCTCACCAAACTACTATTATTTCCATGATTTCTATTTCAAATAAAAAATTGTCTCTATTTTGGTGACAAAACACACATTCATACTCCAAAGTTCCATTGCTAGCCACTAAGAAAGGCAGGCCTCTTCAGGGCCAATGCCTCCATTTAATGCAACTCCATAATGGCCTGTCTTGTTTTGTTGTTGGAGAGAGCTCAGCATGACCAGAGATGCTCCTGTCTACCATCTTTGTGACCCCGACTAAGCATGCCCCAAAACATTCAGGTCTGTCACTTTAACTTTCAAGCATGTGCTCTGTGAATTTGGGTTAAAGCATGCCCAGAAGTATGTCCGTCCGCCATCTTTCCTTCTTGAACGATGACCTTAAAATGAGCATGCTCAGAAGCATGCCCACCCCGAAAGTGATTTCCTACATGTCTAGCTTCCCAGAATAAAACTCCTAGGCTTGCTTTCTTTGAGGAGGGCATTGCTTTGGAAATAACTCCTGTGTTCTTCATCCACTGCAGGTAATAGATTGTTCCTCATTTTTTAAATTTCTTGCTATACATGTTTTTGCATTTCCACACAATATATGAACTTACTTTACTTGGTTACACTATCACTTCTGTATGAGTTTTTTTTTTTTTTTCTTTCAAGATAAGGTGTTATGTGGTCCAGGCTACCCTGGAGTTCAAAATTTCGACTTGGTTGGGCTCAAATTTGAGAAGCTCCCGCTGTAGTCCCGAGTGCTGGGATTACAGGCAAACATCACCATGCCCAGCTCCTGAGTCACCTTTAGCATAATAAAGTTGTTGTGACTAGCATGTATTTTTCAATTCAACGTGTTAGAGACGTTCTATTGTAGAAATGGGAGGAGGGCAAATCTACCTCCAGAAACCAAGCATGGCGTTTTCAAGACCTCTTCTATCCGCAACAGTGTGTCACCTGCATGCTAATATAAGCACTCCTGGTCCTCTCTTGCCAAGATCCTAATGACTCACTGATGATATGATGGTCTCCCTGGGGAAAGAGCACATGACCACACCTTCTGCCGGTCAATGAACAAGTATACATTAACAAGTATACACCGAGAGAGGCTAGAGTTGAATCACGGGTCCTGTGATGAGCCACACGCTGACCCGGCATGCTGGGAAGCTGCTTGGGTGTGACCACTATGCTCTGCACTGCACAGGCATGGATACTTCTGTACACCAGGGACTACTACGCTTCCTTTCAGCCTCTTGGGGCAGCCTTTCCTGCCCCAGGCTGATTATCCTAAATCTCAGGATGACTCAGGCACAAACATTTCAGCATAAGCAGAAATGGCAAGGACGTCACTGTGGAACCTTCCTGAATGACTCGGTATCACGAGAGCAGACTGTTCCTTCTGTCTTACGCTCCAGGGTGCTAGTGAGAGGTGAGCGCACCTGGTACACCTATACCTTCCAGAAACTCTTTTTGGTGACCAAGTCCCTGAAATGTGCTCTCCTTCCTTCTATACTGTTGAGACAACTCAAAAAACACTTTTCTAATATAATTTTTCTTTGAAGTGTATGCATGTTTTGTCTGCATGTAATGTCTGTGTACCTTGTTCATGCCTATTGCCCTTGGAGCCCAGAAGTGGGCACTGATGCCCTAGGAGTTACAGAGAGTTGTGAGCTGCCATGTGGGTGCTGGAAACTGGACCCAGGTCCTCTGAAGCTGCTGAGCCATGTCTCCAGCTCCTTCAGACAGACTTTTAAATATGTAACTTAAACCAATAACAGGTGGGACTTACTTTGCCTCAGTGGTTCTTCAGTTGGGACATCAAGAAATAACTTGTGAAAGTGCATGTTCGCCTTGTACTGCGGGAGGGTAAGACACAGGCATCAGCACCGCCACCAGAGGTTGCCAACCACCACACTAGTTTAACTACTAATTTTCCAATTCAATCCTTCAGGGAGACACAGGGGACGCAGGATCACATAGGTTCATGTTCCAACATAATTAACACCTTGCTGGGTGGCCAGCTGAGCATCAGATCAGGGCAAAGGTACTCCCGATAAGACAGCAGACGACATTCTAAGGACTTTCACCAGGGAAGGTGCTAGAGCCATACACCCAAGTGCCCTGGCTTAGAAGCTTTGCACTCAGCTAACCCTGAACTTGAAGTCCTTGGCTCTACTTCTGCCTTGGTATGTGGTCATGCCCTCACCATTTAGCTCCTCTGGGCCTCAGTTTCTTTTTTTTTTCTGTTTCTGATGTCAAAAGAATTCCCTCCCTTAGAGGGATACTTCCAGGTTTAAACAGAGTAACACATTGGGAGAGCCCACCATGCAGGGCAACATGTGGTCACCAGCACTATGTGGCCATGAAAGCACACGAGGCCAGAGGCAGACGAGCAGGACATAACACTCCAGGGTGGGACAAGGCCCAAGTGTCTGAAAATGACGTCCTTGCAAATTGCACCTGGCTCTATAACTGTGGAGATAATATACAGCCAGCAAGTTGTAGCTAGTGAAATGCTTGCCACGAACATCATCTGCACCCCAACTCCAAGTAGGTGGCACCCCATTCCAGGGTTAGGACACCGTGAATCAGGGATATTGAGGAACATGGCCACACAGTGACTGAGAGACAGATCTAGGTCCTTTAGTGACAGGTTGCTCTGCTTCTAGAATGCTCCTGAGAAAATATGTGCTAAGACAGGGGTTCTCAACCTTCCTCATGCTGTGGTGACCCCTAAACATAAAATTATTTCATTGCTACTTCAAAACTGTAATTTTGCTATTGTTATGAATCAAAACGTAAATGTCTTATATTCGGGGTATCTGATATGTGACCCCTGTGAAAGGGTCGTTCGACCTCCATGGGGGTCACTACCCGTAGGTTGAGAACTGCCGTGATGGGCACTCTGAAAAGCAGGGTCTTTGATGCTGTGCTATCTGAACCAGCAGAGCTCTCAACTACAAAACCAGACCATCTATTGGCATAAAGAAAAGCTCTAGATCAGGCTATTAAGTCTGAAAGAAAAAAGGTTGGAGATATTCTATTATAGCTCTTGGAAGACTAAAACAAGAAGACCATCATGAGTTCAAGGGCAACCTAGGCAGCAAAGTATTGTTGTGGGGGGTGGTTGGGGAGAAAGAAAGGAAGAGGAAAAAAAAAATCAATACAGCATATAAAGTATATTATTTGGCTGTTGACTGGCCCCCATGGGGGAGGGCAAAAAACCATTTTTTTTAATGGTTTTTTGAGACAGGGTTTCTCTGTGTAGCTTTGCACCTTTCCTGGGACTCACTCTGTAGCTCAGGCTGGCCTTGAACTCACAGAGATCTGCCTGGCTCTGCCTCCCGGAGTGCTGGGATTAAAAGGCGTGAGCCACCACCACCTGGCTTCAAAAAACAATCTTTAAAAAGGGCACACCTTGGTAGGAATTCTGTGGAAATTGAAAATTAAAAAATTAAATTTCATGCCTGTGCCCACTCTTTTGTTTAGTTCTTAGAAGGCATGAGTTCAGGCATTTAGGGGAGACGTATACAACAACAAACTGGAGGACACTGGCGTTCAGGGGTCTTGCTCAGCAGCAGAATGTGTCCTTGGCACACAGGACTTGGGTTCAATTCCTAGAACCAAAACCCCCAAATAAAACCCGAACTCCCCCAAGCTGGCCCTGGTAAAGGTGGATTCTGTCACCTCTCTGGGTGTGTTCAGCACAGACAGAGTTGTGAGCTGTGTGTTCAGAGGTCTTGCTTCTCTGTGCGGCAGGTACCTGATGAGATGGTATTATAATCCCTGGATACAGTGCTCCCCCCAACTCTGTGAGATATCAGACCAGCACCCGAGTGTCAGGCTCTGTCTCACATGTGTGCAGATGGCTCAGCTGTGGAATCCAGTCGGCCAGGCGAGCAGCGCCCATCTGTCCTTCACATTCTCTCAACCCGGTGCCTACTTTGGCCCTGCTTGGTAGACGGCTGCATTTCGGGATTCTTACCCGCCATTGGCTCCCATGGCTGTGTCGCCCCCAGAGCCCACACTGCGGCCCCTCATTACCTGGCTGGAAGACGAAGACTTCTTTCTTTCAGTCTTGCTTTCGGCTTTACACTCATTCTTATCGCCCGACCAAGTGGAACCATCAAAACTGGATTTTGACCTGGGGAAATAAAACCCACAGAGATTACACAAGGAACTGTCTGTGTTGCTCATTATAAACCCTCACTGCTGTACAATGTCACGCGGAAGACTGACATTAGTTTTCTGCTTCTAGATACAGATCAGAGCTCACGACACTCTGAGGGCATTTGCGAATCACGTGACCGGGATGAACTCAGCAGGCTGCCATAATGAACTGCAGAAAGGGCATTTGAGATGTGAAAGTAATTATATGGGTTCAACAGTGTTTCTAATCAATAGAAAGAGGAGTCCTTGAGGCCCATTGCCCAATAAAATTACAGCTGAAGCTCAATCAAGGAATATTTTTGTTTCACAATCCATTAATATTTAATAAGAATTAACTAAGTGGAGCATTGTGCTGAACGCCTTAGGCACACAAGACAGTCTTTATCCTTAGAGAGCTTGTGGGCACATGCATCGAACATTTTTTTTTCCTTCTTTTTGTTAAAGGCAGTGCATGCCGGGCATGGTGGTGCATGTCTGTGATGCTAGCACATGGAAGGCTAAGGTATGAGGCTTTGGATAAGGGGGTCTGACAGTTTGATTTCCCATCTGCTTTCTGGTCCTGCTCACTGCACCTGCAGGGAGGGAGAAGAACACACTGAGAAGTCTCAGAAAGCAATACTGTGTAAGGAAGTGCTCCACCCACCGAGGGCGGTGCTCCACGCGGCTGTGCCTTCTCCAGACCATCAAAGGTAGCATTGTCTGTCCCATCTGCCCACAGTCCACACCTCTTCAAAAAGTCTCCCTGTGTCTGCAGTTTGGTTGGCAGGGATGAATGCATTTGAGGCCACCCTGAGCTACACAGAATCTTCCAAACACAAGAGTGGGGTTTGGAAAGACAGCTTAGTGGGTAAAGAGTGAGTGTTACTAACACATGAGGACCCAGTCTTGGACCCCCAGTACCCACGTAAAAAGCCAGGCGTGTCTGTGGGAGTCTGTAACCTCAGCACCGGGCTGGGTAGAGATAAAGGGGGTTTACTGGGTTCATTGCCACTGGCCCAGCTGAAAATGGTGGACTCCATGCTCAGCGAGAGACCCTGTTGAAAGGAATAAGATGAAGAGAGAGAGAGAAAAGGACACTTGAATTCCTCCTCTGGTCTCTCAGTGTATACACATGGGCTCACATAACCTTCCCCATCATGTGCACACAAGGCACATCACCCAGACAGACACCATCATAAATGTCGAGTCTTCCCTTGTCTGTTAAAGGCAGAGGCTAGAACTCTGGAATCTTGGTCTCAGGCTGACTTAAGCCTGGCTCTCCACTTTAAGCAGATGTGAGTGAGTCTGCACATTATCTTCAACCCTGTAGCTGGGAACAATCATCTCAAAGTGGAAAGCGTGTATGAGTTCTAGAATTGATGCACACCCGTGTTTTATAATTATGTAGTTGCTTTATTGCTAGTGGCTGGAAATAGTATACAGAAGGTCCATAATTTGACACAGTTTCTTAAACTGAAACTACTTATTAGGTTCAAAGTAGATCTAGGAGGAATCTGAACGAATTCAAATGCCACAGAGGGACAGACATGATGGACACTGGGCAGACAGTAGACACTGGTGTTCTCTGCTTTGAGAACATAAGCTATACAATGTTTAGGCTTCTCCCAGCAGTTAATGATCCGTAAATCAGAAAAAGGACCTCTCAGCAACTCACAGTAGATGGATTTGACCAGCTCTGGACTAGCTAAAATGTTCTCTGGGAATTCTGGGATTATTATTATTATTATTATTATTATTATTATTATTATTATTATTATTATTATTTAACTATGAGTTTGCCTATATTCGACCTGAAAAGATAACTATTTTTACAAATGTCAAAAATAATAATGACATTTAGATATGTATGACAGTGCCCGACTGCAATCCTAGTATTTAGGAGACTGAGACAGGAAGATCATGAATTTAAGGCCATCCTGGGGGATACAGTGAGTTAGGGGCAAGCCTCAGCTACACAGTACATCAAATATAAACAATAACAACAAAACAATGCTGGGTGTGGTGGTGCATGCACTTAACCCGAGCATTCTGGAGGCAGAGGCAAATGGATCTCTGTGAATTTGAGGCTAGCCTGGTCTACACGGAGAGACCCTGTCTCAAACAAACATCAAGAAAACAAAAGGACAGCAGCAAATAAAATAAGGATGGAATGCATCACTTCTGTTGGTTCAGGGTGTGTTATGTTATTGGAATTAGAAGGTAGCAGGCAGATGTTCTGAAGGACTATGCAGGGTAGGCAAATACAGTAAGAAGGGCAGCTCTCTCTTTAAGGGCTTGAAAGGCACAGTGGTACAGCGGCGGCTCTGTGGTGCAGACGGGAAGCTTCTCCGCATCGTACTGATTTCTCCGCATCCTCTTGGCCATGCTAGTCTCACTTCCTACAGCTGCCCACAAGCAAGACCAAAGCCCAGTGCTAAATGAAGGCGCCCGAAAGCAGTTAAGAATTTCCAGACATCGCGAGCGGAGCGTCAGTGCCCGGCCCTCTGCACCGCTGCCAGGCCGGATACCCTCGTGGTTCCCCACATCTCCTACTGATGCACGCACAGTTCTCATTTGAAGCCTGGGGAAGTCGGGGAAGTCAGAAAGAACCCAAGCATTTGCAGGGTAACTCCCCAATCCGTCACAGCGAAAGAACCGTGAGAGCGCGCACATTGCGCTCGTGTGTGTGTGTGTGTGTGTGTGTGTGTGTGTGTGTGTGTGTG